CAAATATATATATATATATATTTGTAAGTATAAATATTTGTATATGTATATGTATTAATGTAGTAATATATCAGAAGTTTAACTTGGATCAGTTGGTTGGTTGTCAATTGGAACTCTAAAGTTAAGCGTGCTTGAGCTGGAGCAGTGGAAGGATGGGTGACCTCCTGGGAAGTGGATTTCGAGGATTCAATCTCAGAGTTTCCGATTCGGCTTAAGATCGCGGTTGGAGGTTAGAGGTCGGGAATAGGGTATCGGATTAGATTCGGGCTTAACAACAATTATTTTTGAATCCAAAATACGTTTTAGTGACGCAATAATTGCGTCACTTTTTTGAGTCACTAAATAGTGACACAATTGTGTCACCAAAAGGTGACGCTAAAAGGTGACGCAATTGCGTCACTATTTAGTGACGCAAAAATTGAGTCACTATTGCGTCACCCTTTGGTGACGCTTGGTGACAAAATCTGAATTGGTGACGGTATGAATGGTGACGCTTTTGGTTGCGTCACCTTTTGAAAAGGGTGACGCAAAAATATAAAAGGGTGACGCAAAAGTTGCGTCACCCTTTTGCTGTTTTCTAGTAGTGTATTGGATACGATCACAATCATAGGTATTCATTGGAGAACGGAATACTGAATTGACCCGCATGAGATTGTCACATGGACTAGTGTCATGACTTGAATCTCATATGGCGGTTCCATGATTGTGTCCTGAGACCTGAGATATCTACGGAATCCAACATGAGGAGTTGCGTGCTTTGAATACGTCAAACGTTCTGCGTAACAGGAGAACTATAAAGGCGTGTATCAGGTACGAAACGAATCATGTAATGGATTGTAGATAGTCAAGATGGGATTTGTACCTCTCGTAAAAGAGAGAGATATCGCTGGGCCCCTCGTGTGAGCGAGAACTAGGGGAAGCCTTGTCTTGGATTGCACAACTCGATGGAATTCAACTTTTCTTATGTTGACTTCGGCTTTAAAGTACAGAGAAACATTTGAGAGGATGGAAGTCGAAGACAAATTGTATGAGGCATATTTTCATGAAGATGATGAGTCAAGATCCAGTAAAAAAAGGATTGGTCCGCCGTCGGAAAGCGATTGGGATAATGCTCGACGGTTAGTACATATCTTGAAAGTTTTTTATGATTCAACTCTGGTCTTTTCTGCTACAAAAAAAGTCACTTCGAGTGGTTGTTATAATGAGATTCTAAGAGTTGAATATGTTTTAGCGTCGTTGATTGACAACTCAGATCAGAATTTGAGTACGATGGCTAAGAGTATGAAGTGGAAGTATGACAAATGTTGGGAGGGGACAGAAAAAATTAATAAGTTATTGATTATTGCTGTTGTCCTCGATCCAATAAGCAAAATGAGTTTTGTAACTCCTTCGAGAAGATATATGGTAAAGATAATGCTAAATGTGATGAGATGAAAAAGAGTGTCACTGATGTGTTGCGGAGGTTGTTTGATTCGTATCATACATGGTACAAAACACCAAGTGTGGCTGAGGGTGGAAGTGAATATAGATCATGGAAACACCGAGTTTTATGTTGTACCAACTAATGATGATATTGATCTTGGCATTGGTTACGAGAAATATGATAATCCTTTTGCTTCATTCAGTCAAATGATGGCGGATGTAGGAAACGTAGAGGGGTCACTAAGTGAGTTAGATCTTTACTTGATGGAAAAGATTGAAGTGGCAAGATCTAACCATCTGAATACGGAGTTTGATATTTTAATGTGGTGGAAGATGCACAGTGGAAAATTTCCGATCTTAGCGCAAATGGCGAGAGATATATTAGCATTTCCGGTCTCGGCGGTTGCATCAAAATCAGCTTTTAGTACAGAAGGTCACATTTTAGACCAAGGAATAGCTTAACTCCGAATATGGTCGAAGCATTGGTTCTTTCACAGAATTGGCTACGGTCTTCACTTATCTCTGATGCAACACGATCTCTTAAAGATGTGATTGAAAATAATGACTTTATGTATGCAATGGTTGAAGGTATATCTTATATATATATATATATATATATATATATTCATATTGATTATGTATATGTTTTAGTAAATTTTTGTTTCATAACTCATTCTTCTTTTTGGTTGTATAGAATTTCGTGTGGGATTATCAAATGAACAGAAGAAAGATTAATAAGGTATCTTCTGTACCTTGATTAAAATCTGATTGTTAGATATATTTTACATGATCTTATCTTTATTTTATTAGGTTGAGGTAAACAAAGAAGAAGATTCGATGAAGGTTGAAGACTTTGAAGACTTTTGGAGTTTTTTTGGATAAAGATTTGCATTGATATCATATTAGACTTAGAATATGAAGTGTAAGATACTATGCTTGAAGATTTTTGGAGTTTTTTGGGATACGATTGTAAAACATTCGTGGTACTTTATGTCTTGGATTAAATTATGAGATTTTTTTCCAACTTTTTCTCTAGTTTAGTATTGTTCATTTATAAACCGAACCGAACCGTTCTAAAACCGAACCGAACCGAACCGAATCAAATAAAACCGTTTGGTTATAGATTTTTTGTATCAAAACCGAACCGAACCGAACCGAAACCGAACCGAACCGAACCGAACCGAACCGAATAAATTTATATAACCGTTCGGTTATGATGTTTTGATAACCGAATAAACCGAACCCGAAATAACCGAACCGAAAACCGAACCGAAACCCGAATTGGCCACCCCTAGTCGCAGGTCGCAGGTCCGCATGTCGCAGGTGCGACAAGCCGCAGATCAGCAGGTCCGCAGGGCGATAGACCGTAAATCCGCAGGGCGATAGGCCGCAAGTCTGCAGGTCGCAGGTACCGTAGTTGACCTGCTAGGGCCGCAAGTAACCTGCCGCAGGCCAAATGACCTGCCGCAGGCCGCAGGTCCGCAGGTTCGCAGGTTCACAGGACGATAGGTCACAGGTCGCATGTACCGTAGTTGACTTGCTAGGTGCCGCAAGTAACCTGCCATAGGCCAAATGACCTGTCGCATGCCGTAGGTCAGCAGGTATGCAGGTCCGCAGGTCGCAGGGCGATAGGCCGTCGCAGGTACCGCAGTTGACCTGCTAGGTGCCGCAAGTGAACTGCCGCAGGCCAAATGACTTGCCACAAACCGCAAGTCATTTGCGGCATATCACAGGTCATCTGTCAGACCATAGGTCATTTAACGCAGAACGTATGCCATTTTTTTACAGATCACAGGTCATTTGCCGCAGTTTTCTGGTACAGGCATTTCATCAAACACCTTTTGTGTATACAAAAAAATGATCAGAATATCATAGAAAGAGAAGAGTATTTGAATAGATTAGATAAACTATATAAGAAATAGTGTAGATAGAAAAAATATTGGAGAAAAAAAAGATCAAATAGCAAAACTTACTGATTTTTAAAAGATAGATTGTCACGCAATCATAGAAAAATACTGTAAATGGTAGTTTGGATATTTAGAAAAAAAAAAATGTAGTATGCAAAAGTTATTTTTTTGTTGGATATTTTGCAAATTTCGTTTTTATTTGGGTACATTCTACCAATTGTCCCAAAAAATTATTCCGCAATTTGTCGTACTTTGACAAGATGCATATGTTTGGGAAGCATTTTAAAAGAAACAAACAAAATATATCGAGATTTACTAACTATTGCCTTCTTCTTTTAGAAAATTGTAATCATTATAATTAATAATAAAAAGGTTTTACTGTTGTTATTATTGTTATATCCATTATCATTAACTACCAAATCACTTAAATTTTTTTCTCTAATTTTATCGAAATTATATTTTAAAATAATTTTTAAGATTGGTTTTTTTGAGATTCGATACCTAAAAAAATTGTATTAACATTAAGTTTTTTTCTCGGAAAAAACATAATTTGTAGACAAAACATAAGTGCTTTGCAAATACAAAGGTAAATGGTATCGTTGACCAGAAAGGGATAGTGTAATGTGGCGAGGAACGCTTGTTTGATTTAAGTGGTCTTTAAAAATAAGAAATAAGTGTTATATATATATAGATATAATGTCAAGACCACTACTTTAGAATGGTCTCGTTAACAAAAAAAAAAGAAAGACAACCAATTTAGATAACTTAACCGATAAAAATGAAGGCAAAGTATATATTCGTCTCGAATTCGAGTCTTAAATTAAGGAGGAGAATGTATATTCTAATTATATATTTTGTCCTCTATTTCGTAATTAGTTTGGATATCGGCTCAGGATACCCGATTAAAAAAAATAAAAAAATCTAGCAAATGTTTTTTTTTTCTTTATTTAAATTTCTACCAAGATTTTCTTATTATTTGATAGTAAGAACGCGTCTGAAGATGAGAATCAACGCAGTGAAAAAAGATCCGACAGAGACCATTTCGGGAATATATGTCGTAATCATGTGGTCGGAGAAAAAAAAAAGCAATAATAAATATCAATATGTGAAAAAAAATACTAATATTTATGAGAATACTAAATTTCCTTCAATTTGCTTTATTTATAATCTTCATTTATTAAGTAAAGAAATAAGGAAAAAGCAAAGAATGTGGTGGCGGGCTCAAGCGAACGTTCGTGTGTGTGGGCTTCGCAGATCACAAAAAGAAAACGTGTAAAGTCATATTATGATTATCGGATAAAAAATAATTATATCATTAAGTGGACCCAAAAAAATTTTCTAGTAGGCCATTTATAAAAAATTATATATAAAAAATAGACAAATTTAATAAAAAAAATAGATAAAAAGAAATGAGAGAGTTGAAAGTGGAGGCCACATTCAATAATTAATAGAGTATCGTTCTCTTTTTATTAAAATTTTTAACTTAAATTTTTTTAAAATTTTTTTACTATGGGGGCACGTGCCCCCACTCCCTTATACGTAGGTTGCCCCCTGATGTCATTATGCTTTCGTTTGGTTCCACAATTTTTTTCTTTTTCTTTGTCTGTTTAAAATTATTTTTCCTAAAAACAATATATATATATATATATACATATATAACCACCATATTTTCCAATTAAAATTTAATTATAACATGTTATTCCGTTTCGAACAGAAAGCAACACTTCACAAAAAATAATTTCCTTACTTTTATAATCTATTAAGAGCTTAAATATTAAATGATTAGACAGTGTAATTAGTAACTACACACTAACGCATCTCCCACTAGAGTTAGATGAGACATTCACTTGTGTAGTTGTGCTAAAGATTCGGGGAATTTATAGATTATAAAAAAAAAATTTTCCAACGCCAATGTGGCCCACCCATAACAAGTTCCTCCCTTGTAGTTTTTTTTGAAGAAAAATCATCTTAGTAAATACGTCTTTGATTACTATCGACGGATTTGTCATCTTTGGAATCGTTAAGAAATCAATTTGCCTTTTTCGGTTGATAAAATCGTTATCTAAGTAGAATATTTTTTTTAAATAGTTTCTATAATATAATTTCTGTTTAAATATCAGTAATATTGTTAGATTTTGGACAAATTAATTGGATATTTCTTAATCTAGATTCCACATTAATTTTGTTTATACTACATACCAATATATATATACATATATATGTATATATATAATTCGGTTTCTTCGATTTCAATAGTGTGATAAATTAGTCACATGACAGTTTCAAGTACGAATTGAAAGGGGCTACGTACGGTCGTATGTTTAGTCGTCTGGTTGTATGTATTATAGTCTTAATTTGATTAGTGGGACATAAAAATGTTAGCATTTACTTGGTTTTTGTTGGTTAGATAATTATTTTAATTAACAATAATTATCAAACCAATATACTTAGATTAAAGATAACGTAAAAATATATATTCTATATGCGTCAATCCCTCTTCCACGAAACAGTTCGTGCTATATAAAACGACTCGGATCACAATGGTTAACGAGTTCTTATTGGATTACACAAGATCTTGCAAACATAAGATGCTTTTATAAATTAAAATTACCATAAATTCATAACATATGTAAAATATATCACTTCAAAAAAAAGTTGAGAATATAAAATATTTTGTCAAAGTGAGACTCTTGGATTATTCCCACTTGTATTATTATTATTATTATTATTATTATTATAATAATAATAATAATAATAATAATATTGGCCCAAAGGCCACATATGTTTTTTTGTCGTCTTCTCCTTTGTAAGAATATCCCCATACGGATTCTCAGATCCACGGCCTCTATGTTTAACCCGGATTTGGTGAAAATGAAATATTTAATGTATCGTAATGAATATTGAATAATAATATTTGGTTAATCCATAATACATTTTATTTGCTTTGTTGGTTTACACAACTGTTAATACATTGCGAATACATGCAGAAAAGTGATAACGAAGTATAAAGAAACAATAAAACAGCGAAATGCACCACGCTATTACTGCGACAGTGCAAATACGTAGGAATGATTGTCGTAATAATAACCCCGTCGGATTTGTTTAATTGATTTTGCATTTATAAATTAGTCGCTTAATATGATAGATGTTATAAAATAATAATAATAATAATAATAATGAATAATGATATATCAGAAGATATGAAACATATAATTAAATTTTATTCAAATGATTCGTTGTGTATGTTACAAATGATTTATGTAAAGATCTATGTATATTCGCGGCTGTAGGAATCAATGTAATTCTCTAGTGTAAATCTGTAAAAAAAATCTTAAATACATAGTGAAATTTAAACCCTACCGGGATGTAAGATTCAACATCGAAATTTGAACTCGTAAATAGACTGTGTAAGTGTGGGTGGGTGTCGTTTCTATGTACTTGATTGAGCATAAATCAACCATATTTGAACCTAAATAAGGCCTAATCTAATACCAAAACAAAACCTTAGAAACATTAATCAAGATGGGAACTAAACCTTAGACCGAGGTTAGGGTTACCTATCTTACTCGGAATCTACCATGTTTCTGTCATCTTTGTACAAATCTATCAATGTTGAAACTCTATTGTTATATATATATATATATATATATATATATATATTGGTGATATGTCTAGGTGTGCTCACATTTTGGGTATAGGAGAGTATTTTGTGTTAAGGGTGGACATTTAGCGGTTCGGGTCGGAATTTTAGCGGTTCGGTTCGGAAACGGTTTATTCAGTAATCTAAAATTTATATCAAATTAGTACCGTATATTGTTCGGTTTTGGTTTCGGCACTGTTCGATTTCAGATTTTGTTAAAAAGATTTAAATTTTCTTAAGAAAATTTCGGTTTTTTGGAGATTTTATAAAATTCGGTTCGGTTCGTTTCGGTTCCAGAAAATTCGGTTCTATAAAAATCATATCGTTTGGAAATTTTAAACGGTACGGTTTGAAAAAAATATCAAAATTTTTTCGGTTCGATACGGTTCAATTCAGAAATAAACCAAAATGCCCACCCCTTCTTTGTGCGTACACACCACCCTGCCATCACATCTGGACTATTCAAATGATTTCTTGCATATGTTCTAAATGTAAATTAAAAGTTTATTTATAAACTTATAAATAAATATGAAACAATATAAAATAAATTAATGATGAGTGAAGAATATAATTTTTTATGATCGGAGTATTTTGGATCAAGATTGAGATTAATTCCGGAATTGAGAGTTAGTCGGATTATTTTGAAATATAAGTTTCACACTAATTTGAACTCGAATTGGAATAAACTTTTTATATCTTGTTTCATCGGTTGAATTATCCAAATTTGGATGAGCAGAGAATATGTTTTGTTAGTAAAATCAGTGGAATAACGAGAATATAAATAATATTTATTTCTCAAGAATAAAGACGTTTTCCTTTTGAATTATTGAAACGATATACACACATCTACATATGATATATCTGATATACATATACGTGTCTACAATATAAATAGATACATAAGATATTTAAAAAAAATTGCGATCCAATGATTCACGTATTTATATTAATTTATGTTTCCAATAAACTTTTTCATTGACTATTCAACCAGAATCACAGTTTTCGAAGTAAGTGGGAAATCAACTACGAACAAGTGGATCATTGTGCTCTCTTTTCACTAAAACCTTTTTTCTTTTATGATTGCATAAAGAAGATATGATTACTTCTAAATCCAAAATTCCAATTCCCTTCGTACAAAACTTTTTTTTGTCGCTCGGTTTTGAGAATCTGTATAAATTTCATGACGTTAATTTGAAAGAAAATTATAGTTCAAGGTATAACTTAGAAGATAAATATGATAAAATATCAAAGACCACGTTTTCTCACAGAAAGTAAGTCGGATATATGACATGGTCTGACTAAAATATATCAGAACCTTATATATATATATATATAACTCCCTATAATTTTTCTCTTTTCAAAATTCCTAAAATTTTCTATTACTAAAATTTATTCGATAATAATAGATTCTACAATATATTATCAAAAATGTTAATGTAACAATTTCGAAAGGAAACAAAATTACACGGGGAAGGGGGAAATCAATCGGGACAGTGTTCAGTGTATAATTTCGTGTACTGCAGATGCTGACGAAGTTTTGGTTCTTGCAATGGGTGTGGGACACGTGGCATAACAACAGGACCACATGGCGTGCTGTGAGCCTAGATATAAACAAAGAGGGTCTTCCCCCCATCAACAATCCCTCCATACCAACTTTGACAACTCTCTCTCTCTCTCTCTCTCTCTCTCTGCAATGAGCTTAAGCTTCACTTCTGTCCTAGCAGCAACCGGTCTCGGTTTTTGTATAATTTAATTCTAAAACTCCGCAGGCTCTGTGAGCGAAATGAGAAAAGGATCACGTGTTCCTCGCCAGCAAAGCATATCCGTGAGGAAGATTTTCAGGTGTCTCTTGGTGTTGATTAGGAGATCCATCAAATTCTTATAGTCGTATCCTCTCTCGCCATTGGGTTTCCAAGAATAGAAAGTCCTATGAATGCCCCGAGATAAACTAGGTTTTAGGTTTAATTGGATCTAGCTTATTATATATTAGTAACAACATATCATTAAGAAGAGGAGGAAGAAGAATGGTGAGAACGCCATGTTGCAAAGCAGAGGGACTGAAGAAAGGAGCATGGACCGCCGAGGAGGATCAAAAGCTCATTGCTTATGTCCAAGAACATGGTGAAGGCGGCTGGCGCACCCTCCCCGAGAAAGCAGGTGTATATATATATATACATAATTTCTTTTATTATTTAATTAATTAATGTTTGTCATTTAACTACATATGTTGGGTCTTGATGATGATGATTGTAAGACGTGGGTTTTGTAATCGTAGGATTAAAGAGGTGCGGAAAAAGTTGCCGATTGAGATGGGCCAACTATCTAAGACCCGATATCAAAAGAGGAGAGTTTAGCTTCGAAGAAGAAGAGACTATCATCAAGCTTCATGCTATAAAGGGTAACAAGTAAGGATGTTTCCATCTCTGCTTTATATATATATATATGTATGTATATGTATATCAATTATCAATTTTCTTTTTCTTTTTTGTCACATCAATCCTTATTATTTTTTTTAAAAATTTCGTATTATTGGAGAACCTTTAAAAAGATGGGAAAATGCAGTCGCACTAAGCACATACTGATAAGGATGATATCTATTTTTGGCACCCATAATAGAAAAGAATAATTTCTATATAATAAAGTACCATAAAGATGGGCAGACGTCGCTTTTTTCCAATTTATATGATCCATTTCCACATTTATATATATAAAAAAAATCTATCTTGTTTGTTTTCTATGGTGTCTTGCGTTTGTCTCCAACCGAGATATAAACGTACTGTTTTAGATGTTATACAAGATTCGCAATCAGCACAATTAGTTATTTAATTAAACAGTGTTTGTTACTAATTAATTTCGGTTTTTGTCCTTTTGTGTGTTCAAGATGGGCGGCAATTGCTCACCGCTTGCCAGGACGAACAGACAATGAGATTAAAAACTATTGGAACACTCACATCAAGAAACGCTTGATCAAAAAGGGTATCGATCCCCTTACCCATAAACCGATCAATTCGACCGACAGGGAAACCGGAACAACCGAATCTCATCATAAACCAGCCGGTTCTTCCAGTTCGGTTAAGCTCCTTAACCGTGTGGCCTCAAAGCTCGCCGTCGATCTCAACCGGAATCTTCTAGCCGGAATCATCAACGGAATCTCCGACAAGGCAGATTCTCCGAACGGAAATTCGTCTTCCACCAATGCGACAACGACGACGTATTCCAAGTTTCTCAACAAGATGGCGACCAAACCGGATGTTCTCAAGTCGATTTTCGCGGCGAGCGAGAACAATGTCTCTTTGTCCGCCTCCACATCTTCGGGATTCTCCGAAGAATTTCTAGAAACTTCCATGCCGGACTCTGATTTCATGCAGTGTTTGATCAGCACACCAAGCGGAGATCAGTCTCTAGTCGACGATCGTCGGCTCGAGTTCGGTAATTTATTCAGCAACGAAGAGATGTCGGACAACCATATGATGAGAATGGATAACGTCGGGTTTATGGAGGAATTAAAAAACATTATCGGCGAGGATTATATCAAAGATTCTCCTGAAATTACATCTGGAGAAGAGTTCCCACGTTTTTGGAACTACGAGGACATGGAGTTGGAGAACATCGTCCGTTCGTCGGATTCGCCGGTTCGTGTTTTAGTCTGAGCAATCTTTATTAATAATTTGTGGAACATTAAATCAATTTTAGAGTTGATTTTCCTTGGCCTAGATTGGATCGATCTGTTCCTCGTCAGAGTTGTCTTTTAGTTTTTTTTGTCTTCTGTCGTTTATTGGTGTTGTGCCACGCGGTGTGTAATAATATCCGGTGCGTTAAAAAATAGTAATGTAATGATGCGGCAATAATAATAATGGTTTTTTTTTTGTTAAAATAATAATGGCTTTTGTTATTTTCTAGTTTCATTTACTATATTAGATTTATGATTTCGAGTTGATTATTTGCTACGGACCGTCGAAATGATAGTTCTCCACGGAATCTTTTCGTTCCAAAGATCGAAACCGAATCTAAAGATTCATGAAACCAAAGACAAGCTTTTGTCGTCTAAAAAGTTTTGTACATTTTTTTTTTTATAACGAATCGTCATGGCCGAAGCCCAGACTAATCTTCGGGCCGGAAGCAAGCCATGTGCTTTGAAATATTCGCTCCCCTCCCCACCCTGGGGCTCGAACTTGGGACGGGACAAATGTTTTACACCCCCGTTTCACCAGTTGAGCTACCCAGGATGAGTTAAAAAAAAAGTTTGTACATTCATTTTACCAACAACAACAATAATAATAATATGGTTCGTATAGTTGCAACCAAAGAGAAAAAATCGATTAGATTGAAAATTATAAGCATCGGTATTCCATATTTTCGTGTAATAATAATTTCCATATAATCTTTTTAAGATAGTTTACGTATCAATAAAATACACTGTAACATTTTTTTGTAACTGGGTATGGACCAATGTCCAACTAATTCCGGGGTCGGGAACCAATCAGATATTTTGGATCATACATTCTCTTTTCAAATTTGAAATTCAAACTCGGAACATAATAGACGCTATGCATTCTCATTTCACCAGTTGAACTACCCAAATTTGGGTTGGATGCAACTTAATATCAAGACATGATAATATTGTCGTGAATCATTTTGTCTCGTATCTTAGATAACAGTCATGAAATATCTTTTTATAATTTAGAAAACTAAAAAAACTATTATTTATCTTTCCAATTTAAAACTCGTATTTTTTTTTCCAATAATTACTTTTTTATTCTAATAAATACTACATTTATAATTTATAATAATAAATATTTTTTATGAGACAGATTGGCTCGCGGGCCAGAATTTTTTTTTAAATTTTAATATTTTTCTATATTTTAAAATATTTTTATATATAAATTATATTTTTATTACATATTGAGTTTGTTTTTGTTTAAAATTTTATTTTTTTATTATATATAAATATTTTAAATATTTAAATTAGTTTTAAATATTTGTTAGTATTAAAATTTTATTTTTAAATTTTATATATTTGGCTAACGGACCGACTCGTTTGGCTCGCAGACTAAGACGATATGAGTTAGGTTGATATATTTTTAGCTCACTAAAAGATGGGCTGGACTGGGTTTGACTAAAATTTTTCCGGAGCGGAACGAGTCGGGTTGGACTGAGCCGGACTAACTCGCTTTACACCCCTACCTCGTCTTGACAATATTCTATCTCAAGTAAATAATACACACACACATGGATGGATCCATATACAAGTAAATGGGTTGCATACTCCTTATTTAATTAATTTTTTTTTTAATTTTTCTAAAATCTTAGATAAAATTATTAAATGCATCTATATACACATATGCAAGTAAATTACTAAATGCATATATTACTATATACATACATACATATCGCAGACATATATATGTATATGCATAGTGGTGTCAATTTAGACTAAAGTCCGACCCGAGTCTATCTCAAAAATGTTGAATTTCGGGTCTAAACTTTTCGACCCGAAAAAATTAGACTTTCGGGTCGGTTGAATTAGGATTTCGGACCCGATTCAGATCGGTTCATAAATCCGATATTTTTTCAAAAAAAAAAAATAAAAAAAAAAATAAAAAAAAATAAATTTACAAAGGGATTTGAGTAGTCCGACGTTGACCCGATCCGAACCAAAAATTTATAGAGTTGAGTGTTGGATTTGGTTATATAGACCCAAAAAAAATCGGACCGATCTGAGATCGTTGAACATATTTGTACAGATATTCTATTGTTATAAATGATAATTATGTTATTTATTAGCATAATATAAGATTTAGAAAAGTATATAATTTTTTTTTGGAATTTTTAATATAACTGAAAATGCGCGAACCCTTGATCAAACCATTATAAAATGATAAAAGCAACATTTAGAAAATGACCCGTCTTTTCAGATTAATAAACTTTCTTAATTACCACTATAAACATATATGTATATAAAAAAAGGACAAAAAGATATTATTGTCTGATACTATTTTTGTCCGAAGATGTGTGATTTAATTAGTGACTTTCCATTTTCGAATATGTAAAGAACAAAGTTCTCATGAATAATTTATCCTTAATGGCGGTCGAATTAAAATATATTAGTGTCTACATCTACAGTGTTCACAGTAGGTGGAATCAAAATCATTCTAATCATGTGAAATCCAGGTCAGTAATGGCTGCCTCTTGTGGTGCCCCATTGCCCATTTGGACGAACGTTAATTATATACTAATTCACAATAATTGTGCTACAGTTTTCTATGATTTAATTATATATTTATATAAAAGCAAAAAAAAAAAACACAAATCCTAGGTCTAGAAGGTTGTCCAAGAATGAGGAGTACCGAAAGCTTAAACAATGGACACTTTAATTTATTGAAGTTTAGTATTATTCACCAGTGTTAACTGGTAACGGATTGTGCAAGTTCCGTGTCATAAATTAATTTCAATTTTGATCCAAATTTATTTTCGATGTATGGTCCAAAATAAACTTGACCCAAAATTAATATCTATAATAAAAAACCTTAACTCAAGTTTAATTCAACGGTGGACCATATGATCAAAGATGATAGTTCTTTAGTATTAAATTTATATTCCGGTCCTCACTTTAGGAGGATATCACATCGATTTTCTCGATATTTTGGAAGATATAGTCGGATCAAAAGTATGGTGAACTTTCGAATTATAAAAAAATTACATTCAACAAAACATATAAATACGCCATGGCTGAACTTATTATAGATTTTAAATGGGTTGGATTAGATGGATAACCCAACCCAATAATAATAATCCTCATCGGAGTAATTTTATCGAACACCTTATATGCAAGATAGCATTATCATTATTTTCATCACCTACTTCTTCCTTACCCTCCTCCTCCTCCACAAGATTTGTATAATAGATAATTAGAAATCAAAATCTTCAAAGGAATAGAAATAAATGAAAAGAAGAGAAGAATTTAGGGGAAAAAAGGATCTCATATACCTGATTAATTGGGGTAGTCGTTTCGGGATTCAGATCAGAATTTTAGCGGTTTAGTTTGAAAACAGTTTTATTCGGTATTCTAAAATTTGTACCAAATTAGTACCGTATATTATTCGGTTCGGTTTCGGTTTTGTTAAAAAAATTAGATTTTTTTAAATTTCGGTTTTTTGAAAATTTTATAAAGTTCGATTCGGTTTCGAGAAATTCGGTTCTATAAAAATCATACCGTTTGAAAATTTTGAACGAAACGGTTCGAAAAAAATATCAAATTTTTTGGTTCGGTACGATTCAGAATTTCGAACCGAAACGTTGTGATACCATTTTTGAACAAGAGAGAAATAAGAATTTTTAGAATAATTTTCTGATTCTCATTGATAATAAAAGGGATACAAAACACTTATATAGAAAGATAAAATAGTAAAAATAAAATACAAAATACAAAATACAAAATAAAAAATACTAACGATCTCAACAAACTAATGTTCTAACATCCCTTATTCTTTAATAGAGTGAAAAGCGCTATAGTAAGGAGAAGGGTTGGGAGGAACAGGCACTTCAGACACGCCTTCAAGCATATGAGCAACTTGTCTCATGTTCGGTCTCATCCCGCTCTCTTCTTGTATGCACCAAATCGATGTTCTCACGTATCTCGCCACTGTCTCCATGTCTTGAATGGCCTCGACATCTTCCTCGATCAGATCAATAAGCTTGTCTTCTCTAAAACAGTCGTACACCCAATCTGTCAGAATCACGTTATCCTCCAAATCAACGGCCTTCTTGCAGCAAACTATTTCAAGAATCATCACTCCGAAGCTGTAAACATCGACTTTCGCTGTAATGGGGCTGTTTCTGAACCACTCTGGTGCGACGTAGCCTTTGGTTCCTCGGATGTTCGTCTGGGTATGCGTCTGATTCATCATTAGGGTTTTGGCAAGTCCGAAATCAGAGATTTTGGCACCGTAATACTCATCCAACAATATGTTTTGAGGCTTGATGTCGCAGTGTACGATCTGCTCGTTGCATTCTTCATGCAGATACACTATTCCCCGAGCTATTTCCATGGCCATTCTCCTTCTCTCCCTCCAATTTGGCCTTGGGCGCGAGAAGAGGAAGCTTGCGAGTGTTCCGTAAGGCAAGAACTCGTATACGATGAGGCGGTTCTGTCCTTCGTTGCAGAAACCTACGAGTTTCACCAGGTTCTTGTGGTGGGTTTTGGCTATTACCTTTACTTCGTTCTTGAACTCCTTGTCCGATTCTTGAACGACTCGGTCGAGTTTCTTGACAGCCACGACAATGGAAATAGCAACACCTGCGGTCTTGACAGCTCCCTTGTATACGATCCCGAATGCTCCTCTCCCGAGCTCTTCTTTGAACTCTCTTGTAGCTTCTTTGAGCTCTTTGTATGTAAAGACTCGGAGATTCGACTCAACCTCTGCATGAGCATCACATCTAGGGTTTCTCAGATCATTCTTTTTCTTGTTGTACAAGTAAACGAGTACGAAATTTACAAACGCCAAGGCCCCTATCAAAACCGAACCACCGATGATCAAGCCATCACGGTTTTTCTTTCCTTCAGCCTCAAAGTTCACGTACTCGTCTCGCCTGAAGTTTCCGCGTATTGGAACCTTAATAAACGCACTGCCACTGCCGCTCGGGTCGTGTATTCCATAAGACAGTGGAAACTTCTTCTTCCAGCAGAGGTTTCCGCCGTGTATCACCGCAGCGCAAAAGCAATCCTTTAGACAGGAAGACTTACAGCTTTCCTCATCATAGTTTCTATATCGCTCGTAATCTCCTGTCGGAAAATTCGTTCCTTGTAAACTTACTAACTCGTACTCATCCTCCGACCCGTTACATGTCTGAACGTCGAAATCAGGCTTGCAATCTCCGTACTCGTCTTGTGGATCCACCAACGAGAACTTTTCCGGGCATTTGCAGATCGGCCTCCGTTCTTTACCCAACGTGCACACGTTGTTATACCCGCAGGCTTGACGTCCAATCTCATTCTCTGCAAAATCAGATCCGAAGAGCTTCGCGCATATATTATCCGGTTTAGACCAAAGCATCGACCAACTCCTTGCATTACCATCATTAGTCTGCTGCCTCGGGTAATAGTACTGAGCGAAAACTCCGTCAAAATGTAAAACTGCTCGGTAGTAGTAGTCTTTAGAGGGGAGTAGATTCTCAACTGGGATGAACCCTAATGTTGAGTTGTTTCTTCTCAGAATGTACATGTAACCGGACTCGTTAAACATCAAGCGGAAGCCTGAGTTCGTCGAGTTCTGAGGATCAAACGTGTTGCTTATGTAGTAAGCAGCGTACGTGTCTGCGTTCGCAAGCGTATCAGCGCTTATAGTGTTGAGAACAAGATTTCCGTCGCCTAGAAGCCGTAATTGGAATCTTCCCTTTGTGAAGTCTGTCTCCGAGCGACGAGACGAGACAGTTCCCCCCAATTCCATTATCTGCAACCTCGTACATACAAACAAAGACACTAAGTCATTGAGTATGAATCTGTGACTCAATCCAATTAGATCCTGTAACTTGTTCTGATAATAACAATTGATAAAAAGTTTACCTGGGTAGGCAATAACGTGTCTGTAGGATCACTGAAACTCGACCATAGATCTTCTGAATCTACGTTTTGGAGGACGAAATTACCTGTATCTTCCATGAATGCATGGGAAACAGAACCTGTCATAACCTGCGACCGCCATAGCTGACGACCTTGAGGGCTCGTTAGGACAAGGCCGCGATCTGCGGTTAGTGTAACCTTTGATCCTTCAGGGACAATACCACCGTCGACGGTCGCGTACCAGACAATGGTTTTGTCAGGAATCTTGTCGAACCATATTGAGAGCACGAAACCGTCGCTGTTCCCTTCGATCTTGCGAAACCCTAACGCGAAATCACCGGAAGGAGAGCGCCATGGAGTGGAGGATGGTTCTTGGGCAGTAAGAGACGATCCGAGTGGAACAGAGCCATTGTTCTGAGACGAAACAAGAAGAGGAAGCAGAACAAGTAGGGATAATATTGGTGTCTGAAACAACCGAGCCATTTTGGTTTCTGAATAACTTTTTAAGGTAAGCTTAAATTTATAATATTCATTATCGTTTTTGTTGCTTTTATATTGGATTTGATCGTCTATATAACCCCCGAGAAAGGGTCAAGATATTTTTGGAGGAGTTCCCAAGTCAACGGAGACCATTGACTTGAAGAAGCCAACCGTCAATTGTTCACATTTAATATTAAATAAATGAAGGAGAACTTTGTAGACTTTACTGTAACAGCTAAATAATGAACCGAACCAAACGAACCAAATCAAACGAAACAGAGATTTGACACGTAATACTATTCTCTAGTAGTATCTATGGGTATATGCATGTACGTAAAACAATGTTATGACCCTTTTTGGTTTATGATAAAGTATATTATTATTATTATTATTATTATTATTATTATTATTATTATTATTATTTATTTCTTAAGGGCGATGATATTAGGTAATCGTGATTAATAAAATTCAAAGTAGGATTTCCAGGACCCACATGTCTGTGGTCGATTGGTATCTGGACTGGAAGTGAGGGTGTTCCTCCTCCAGGTCAGGGTTCGAATCCAGGCATGCGGGGAGAGAGAGGTATAGCCAAAGACTGTGTGTTCAAAGGCTGCTCCCGGATACAGAGAGATATAGGTTGGGCCGAAAGTCCAAGTGAACTTCCTGGTTTGACCAAAAAAAAAAAGTAGGGTTTCCATGTTTAGAAATCTCAACGTCTTTAAATTTCGTGGAAAAGGGCTGGCTCGTCTCTTTGACAATTTCAAATTACGTTCCAACTCTAAGATTTGCTAGTCATTTACAACTTTTTTGTTTACGTGTTCATGGTTGCATATATAAAATTTGGGTCCATCAGAAGGGGTCAATCATTTTTAGTGAAATTTCCATGAGATGTGACGTACTTCACTTGAATTACAAATTGAAAGATGCATTTACCGCTAGGATGGGTGAACTTGAGGACGAACCGTCCAATCAATTTCGTGGAAAAAACAAAAGCCTGTCCGAAGCGAACACGACGATTGAGAAGGTCAGATTCGGACAGCACATACACATGCATGGGTCCTTTGACGTAGTTTCTCATGCATACATTACAAGTATTTCATCCAAAAAATCATGCCATTACAGTGGCGACTTACGTAAGTATATAAACAAATATAACACGATATAGGTCGGTATTGGGCATTACCATTATCAATGACGTGTATTGCCGAAACTGTTGGGCATTCATGTTAATGATATATTCTTATTCATTCATTGGACGTATCATCCAAGGGGGGAGAAGGGAATTGACGTCGTTCAAAGGCTGTGTATGTGGAGGGATTTTGCCGCCAACCCTCTCCGGGAAACCATTTCTGTACAAGTATTTTACAACAAAATATATATCAAACAAGAATCCAAAACCGCAACAGACAAGATACGTATGTGTGCATTCATGCGCGCGCGCGAGAGAGAGAGAGGGAGCGAGAGAGAGAGAGAGAGAGGGGGGACCTGTTGAAGCTTAAGTAATGAGTATGGCGAATTGAGGAGGAAGAGTTGGAGGCTTGGCATCGTGACTCGTCCTGCTGAGCCATTCCCTTTCCCCTCTCCTTAATCTGTTCATTTCATCATACCCTTCCGCCCTCAATCAAACGGCTCCTCCACATGAATATTAATAAAGTTTTTAAACTCATTATGTAATAAGATACAACTTAAAGGAATTGTGACTACGGATCTTAGGCTAAAATCAAACTATACTATATATGACTAATCACGCATTTTTTATTTGCCAAACTTCAGAAATATTAAAGAACATAGAGATCACGGATTGGAAGGCAATCATCAAATCTTACATAATTTATATATATATATATATAGATGATTAAAAAACACATAGCTTATATAGGGTGAATGTTATGAATACAAAGCTAATGAGATCAGTTTATCAACACAAAACTTGGATTCGGTTGATTAGTTGATTCATTTCATCCATTGATCTGAAATAAATTCAAGATAATGTGAGGAAAAAATGTCTAACCTTTTTGAGAAGCAAGTTATTTTGCTCTTGCAATGCCTTGTCCTGGTGAGGGACACAATAATCACATGATCATATATATATATATACATATACCAATTCCAACAAAACATTATGCAATAACAAATCATAAAAAAGGGAATTGAAAACCTCGATCACTTCCAAAAAAAATCAGCCAGCTATCGACGAAATTGTTGCGATTTGCAACAAAAATAAATCCGATTTTGCAACGCACTTACAACGCGTTCTCATTCACTCACCTATGCCCACTCTCTCTTACCTTCTTCTGAAGCTCAGCAATGGATTCCAACATGACTTGGTTCTGCACATATTACTCAGTCATCCGGATCACACAAATTTCACTTTGGACAAGGAAATTAAAGATCCTAATAAACTCCAAAATATATACATGTGCCTTGAGACAAGCACATATATGCATATATATACACACACACATCTACATACATGTGTGATATGCGTGCTTATCTTACCTTCCTTGACCTGATGCTCTTGATAGCATTATCCAGCTGAAGCTCCAAGCTTTGAAGCTCCTTCAAGCTCAAAGAATCGAGGTCTTCTCCCATAAAGTTCCTAGCAGTTTAATATCACAGCGATTAATTATTAGCCATTTTTGTGCCATAATATATATATATATATATATATATAACCATATCTTGGCAGATGATACATTTAGTAGCTAATATAAAGCATGCATGCTTAACACATATTTATTTAATGATCATAAACGATGAATCAAATGGGTTGCAAGTGCATTCTATAAGAAACGAATGAAAGAATTAATTTGAATTAGGCATAGCAATGATATGTACTTTTTGTTCCTCTCAAGGACCTCCACTCTTGCCTTGAGCTTTGCATGTTCTAGAACCCAATTTTCCTAGGGAAAGTTTTGTTTGAGACGGCAGTAATTAGTTAATAATATAATGTTAAACGCAATTAGAGGGAATATTAATACAACTCAAAGCAAGTATCATGAACACAAACAAGTGACAGGACGATAATTAAGAATCGTAATTAGACTTTTAACCAAAAAAGAAGAGAAAAAAATTGTACTTACACTCTGAGAAATGTCTCGTCCGGCGAGTTGTTTGTCTGAGTATAAGTAGCGGTCATAGCGCTCAAGGATACTCTCCATGCTTTGATTTGATAGAAAATCAAACAATATTTAGTTTAATTATACTATTTGAAAAATAAATAAATAAAAAACATGAAATATCAACTTGGTAAAAGACATGCGAACACACACCAATACCCTTTTTGGGGTCGATCCTAAAAAAAATCATATAAGCAAACGTGAGCATTTCAAGGTAGAATATCAGAATTATGCAACGAACTCGGTTATCCAAGCACCTGTATATATACACGGGCACGCGCACACACAATTCATGTGTATGTATATGTACGTGCGTCTCTATATTCGTGTGTTAAAGTTCGTCATTTACTAATATCCGTGGGTTTTCACATATATCACACTTCTTTTCTTGGTTTCAAAACAAAGCTTCGGGTAAATCATACATAAATACATACATACATACATGCATACATATATATAGCAAGTATGTGTACTAATTTCATGTTTTCCCGGTGTTCTTTTTTCTTTTATGGATCCGTACGTCTAAAAACAACAAAAACCCTAACTTCAACTGAAGAACATATGTGCAGATCAAATTAAACGCAAATATGATGAGATACAGCAATATCATATCTGCCTTTCGAAGCAAAGTCGGCAAATTCGCCATGTTATGCCGGAAATGAGCGAGATCGGGACTTACACAAAGATCTACTTCGAACCCAAAAGTAATTGAAGTTAAGTAATATGAGAAATTGATCCTCGAACATGGATGTACAAACACACACACACAGACATATATATATATATATATAAATACACACGCACCTGTTGGGAGAAAATCTAGAGATAAGATCATTTACCAAGAATCAGTGGAATACTCGGAGAGCTTTCCTTTGGAAGAGAAGACGATAAGAGCAACCTCGGCATCACAGAGAACAGAAATCTCAAGAGCTTTCTTGAGCAAACCAGATCTTCTCTTGGAGAAAGTCACTTGCCTGTTGATCTTGTTCTCTATCCTCTTCAGTTGAACCCTACCTCTCCCCATCTCTCCCTCTCTCTCTCTCCCAATGGAAATTTTCTTTCGTTTTCTCGCTCCTCAATCACGCCCTTCCAAGACAAAACAAAAAACACCAATCCCTCTCTCTCTCTCTCTCTCTCTCTCTTTTCGCGTCTTGGGTATCTTTCTGTTGAAGCTAATTATCTTGTCATTTTTCTTCCTTTTTTCCTACTGGGTTTTGTATACGTATAGAAATTACTGTAATGGCTTTGAAGTAGAGTATATATACGCGTGTCTCCGAGTAGCCTCAAAATCAAAATCGATAGGTAAAGTAATAATATATATTCAATTTAAAAAGAAATGTATATTCACAAAAATACAGTTCATATATATATATATATGTCGTGAATAACGAGAGAAACAAATAAAACATGGTTTCCTATGATAATTAGTACATGAAACCGACTGTTGGAACAGAATCTCAAACGCTGAATGGTGTCACGTACAAATATATGTATATATGTAAAATGTATGTAGATGCTGTGGTATATGTAAATATGGACGGGGATATTTATGGAAATTGAATGGGAATGAAACCCACCTAGGGAAAAAAATTAGAAGCGGACAGAGAAAGGGTGGTTTTGGAAAAAAAACCAATCGGATGTGTTGTCGGCATCTCATTGGCTGTGAGGAACTGAACAGTAACAGTGTCTGTTCGACTTATGTTTCCGTACATCTCTCCCTCTACTCCCCTAGATTTCTTTTTCTGACCGTACTGTCTCTTCACTCCCTTCCTCTCCCACGTTTCTTTGTTTTTGTTTTTTTTTTCAATTTCGGCATCAAGAGTTTTCCCCATGGATTCTGATCTCTGTGTGTGTATATATATACACGTGTATGTACATATGTACCTTATTAGGGGTTTGATTTGAGTATCAAATATTTCTAGAGAAATTTTTCATAATATGGAAAGTCTTCACTGTTTTCGTTGATACCATTATTTTACTTTAAACAAATCAAACACCTAATCGATTATTGTTGATATTTACAAGTCAACTGGTTAATAATGACATTGTATTTCATCTAAAAGCATTTTAAAATTATATTTTGAAAAAGAAAACTGGAAATTTTGTGGTCGAAGATTATTCAGTCCCAAGATTCCGTAGATTCTGCTTGCTTTTTTTTTTCAAAAAAAATATTGCACATAGGACGTGTTTCTGATCATAAGGAACCAGCAAAATATCACCCGTGATTAATTGATGCCTTATTGCTCTTTATAATTATTTACAAAAAAAACGAAAACAATATATATATATATATATATATATGTGTGTGTGTATCAAGTATGGCTATGGACTCCCATCTCTCTCTCGGGCGAATTGGTGAATTGGTGTTTTTTATAATAGTAATATTATTATTATTATTATTATTTACTAAAATAACTTTTTTTTATATTTTTAAATCGTTTATTCGTTAATATCGGGGTTTATATGAACTCGACAGCACACACGCTTTTTCCAAAGTAGTTTTCTCACTTTTGTCACATTTCCGGATGAGATTCTCTGCCGCGCGACAAATCAATCGCCATTAAACATCCCTTTATCTCTTCCGGTTTTTTCTTTTCCTTTTTATCTGTTTATTTGGTTATATATGAGATCCGATTCTTGTATGCATTGATTCGAAAATGGAGTATCAAATAATTTCAATTTAAAAGGATACAACGATTTTTCCGGATATTGCCTAGGTGAGTCAATAAAATCCTTTTATTTCTTCAGCACTTTTAAGATAATGTTAAGTTATTTATAATTATACTGTTAGATATTTACACCAATGTTTCATCAGGGTTAATTTATAAGGCATATTTCTTCTCTTTTTGCCGCAGTCTATGAGTTTTAAATGTATAAGTTATTTATAACGCCAATTTGTTCAAATGTTATAAGAAATAATGATAATAATATCTCCGATTAGTTAATATATTTTTCTGAAAATTTAAACTTTTTTTTTATAATATTTTAATGAATACATATAATTATAAGAGATTTGCCCTCTTAATAATTGAATTTTTGTCTGTTGGAATGGTCAAAAGGGAGACTATTGGACTGATTGGATCTTTTTGCCATGGCCCGAGCATTAACGCAAATTTCTTTATTTAACATTGCTCTCCCAATGAACACATTTATTTATGAAACATTTTAAGGATTAGCAAAAAAACAATCGAATTAAAATAGGAATATTACTTAGATATGAAAAAGGATTAACCGTATATATATGTGTTTTTCAAGAAAATTGATGCCAGATTACTCGAACATGACAATGATTTCTTTTTTCTTCTTAAAAAAAACAAAACAAAAACACCTTTTATTGAGGTTGGACCCCATTCCTTTAATAGGGAATTGGGCCGCAGGCCCATTAAGGTCAAATATTAAAGCCCATAAAGTTTATTCGGAAACGATATGGGCTTTTTTAACGTGTCTAACATCAATAAAAGGCAAGGCCCAATATATTTAAATTGCAGAAGATTCTAAACGGGGGCATGAAAACCTCGTGAAATTACGCCTACGCCACTCCGCCACCAGGGAGGGGAGCGCCCGTTGAAGAGAAGCAAGAACAGAGAGAGGGGCGGCCGAGAAGGAGAAGGTTCGCCGGAAACTGACGTTGGGAAGAAAAGGGCGGTAAGTGTGAAAAGGCGCGCAATTCGAACAGTGATAATTTAAAATCTTCTTCAAATTGCCTCCGTAGCATAGTGGTAGTGCGTTCGCTTCGTAAGCGAAAGGTCGCGAGTTCGATCCTCGCCGGGGGCTTTTTAGTAAAATCATGAAATTGTTTTATTTTTTTTTTGTAAACACGATAAAACCTTATTGGGCCATATACATATGCTTTTTCAGTGTGATTTTTATAAGCCGTTATTCTAATAATTGTCATCAAACTATATATGACCTCTTTAGAAGAGTGTATGTGTGCGTGTGTCCCATGGAAACACAAATTGGAGAAGAGAGAGAGAGAGAGAGAGAGAGAGAGAGAGAGAGAGAGAGAGAGAGAGAGAGAGAGAGAGAGAGAGAGAGAGATATGGGCTCGTGGAGCTCTATGATTGAGAGTGATCAGAGCTTGTCGACTGCAGTAGTTCATCAGTTGCTGTCTTCACTACTTATGTTATTTCCTTTTCATTCCTCTGACTCCAGACTCAGCATCTACTCCTTGTTTCCTTTTCTTTTTTATTATCTTCATTAATTTATTACACACACATGCAAGTGTATATCATCTCTCTTTCTTTTGGGTATATGTTATGCAGATAATCACGCATGTAATGTACTGTACATGTATTATGTATCCTGTTTCTTAGACATCTTTTGTATGTATATTATTATTAGGAATAACAGAAATTAAGTTTACATATCCCTTTTTTATATATAAATATTTATTACGCGCACACACACACACACACACACACATATATATATATATATTGCAATGTGTTACAGTATGTGTATTTTTAAAACGGAGAACGATCTAAGCATGGAAACCTTTGATGAAATCTTTTTCTGTTTTGCTCGCAGAGATGGAAGGTAGTTTTTCAAGTCATTTATTATGTGACATGATATAGGTGGTTTTGAAATGCAATGGTTCTATACATATAAACTTTATGAAATCGACACATTGTGTGTATATGTGTTTGTACGTAGGACGGTGATCCGATTACGATTGTTAGCAATATAGTCAAACGCCAGCTATTATGGTGTTAAGGAGAAAGCTATATATAGCCCAAACATTTCTGATAAAGTATATATATATATATACGATGAAGATCCCTAGATATATTTATAAACATATATACGATGAAGATCCCCACATATGTATGTATATATTCGTATGTGTCATATGATCATTTTAACGTTATGCGTACCATAACTGGTTATAATTTAATCACACTACCATAAGCAATTAACAGCACTCCATTTTGGTATTATAAGTCTGTATATACACACACACATACATGATATTCATATCCAAATAATTAGACTATGAATTTCAGTTGAGAGAATATACATTGATCATAAAAAAAGTTAGCCCAAGGTCTTATAAAATTTTCAGAGAAATATATAGTATATATTTGGTATTTTATCCAAGAGCCCTAAATCAAGATTCGAGACATATAATCAAGATTACCAATTGACAAATTAAAACACTCGCACACAAAAGAACCGAGAATGAAATACACAGTACGTAATCACTATAGAAAAAGTGAAAAGAATATTCAAAAATTATATTAGAAACTCACTGACCTGATCGCGTTATCAGTTTCTTGCTCGAACCCGATTTATTGGGACTATATATACATGTAAATAAGCATATATATAAACACAAGTGTATGAGTACACACATCTTCATGAATCTGAATCATTCTCATTGTTGCCTTCGTTGTTCCTCTGCAAATCACCCAACACAGGATCCGCATTCATATATTGATGAAACGGTCTAATGAAGCTCGAGTTATTACCCGACAATAACTGTTGCGATGGCGAATTTGAAGAAGAACTGAAGAGCTGAAGATTATGACCATGCCAAGCTCCGAGAAACGAAGGGTAGGTCGGAAATGGAGGACCCATCGCCGTCGTTGTCGTCGGAGGAGAACAGAAGAACATCTGAGATCCGTCTCCGGTGGACGCATTTAAATTGTTATTAACGTTTGATGCGACAGTAACGTTACCGGTTTGGTCGAGTGACTGTTGGAGATGTCCGGAATTGAAGTAAGAGCTTTTGGACGCCGTTGTCGGATTATTCAGCAATGTAGGATAAAGCTTGTGGCTTTGGGTCGAGCTCCAGAGATGGTGATGATCGATGTCGAACCCATGATCACGATTGTTGTCATGATCGTGTTGACGATGATGATCGACGAAGTTGATCCACTTCCCTTTGTCAAGATCGAAATTTTCCCTCTGGGCATCGGTTCTTGATCTCGTTCTTGAAGAAACTAAAGAAATTCAAAGTATTTGGAGATTGATCAAAGAAGAAAGCAAGAACGTATGTTCTGTTTTGGGGGTGAACTTTCTGTAAGAAATATTCACTTGATTCTCATATCATTCATGTACTTCTATTACAGTGTTTATACAGGTTTGATATGCACAAAAGAAAGAAAGTAAATCTCTTACAGAAGGAAACATATAATAAGAAAACGGTAACTTGTATATTTCCATTTGTGCTGATGATGAGTTGTTCATGAGTTTGGTTTCAGCGTGCTCTTAGTCAGGCTTGATTCTTGCTCGTCAACAGATTCTTC